TATTCTCTTCCACAGGTAAGGCAACATGACCCACCAGTTCCCAGCGCTGTCTTCAGAGCAGAAGAAACATCTTTCAGACATTGCTCAGCGGATTGTGGCTTCAGGAAAGGGGATCCTAGCTGCAGATGAGTCAGTGGGTGAGTTCTGGATATCAATGAATTAGCAGTACTCAAGACCTTTTCTCTTTAGTTTTGTTTCATCTTTGAAATCAGTGGAGTCAATGAAAAACTCTTTAAAACTGTTAACTGAGCAGGGACAACTCAGCCAAGCAGGGTTGCGTCTATAGCAACAAAAGCTGATAAACCACGAGTTGAGAAGGGAAGCTCTGACCTGAAGCCCCTAACTATGACATAGTGGGACCAGGAGGCCAACCAAGCCTAACAACTCTCTGTCTGACCCCTGTCCACCTCACTAGGTACCATGGGCAACAGGCTGCAGAGGATCAATGTGGAGAACACAGAGGAGAATCGCCGGGCTTTTCGAGAGATCCTCTTCTCTTCAGATGCTTCCATCAACCAGAGCATTGGGGGAGTGATCCTCTTCCATGAGACTCTCTATCAGAAAGACAGCAGTGGAAAGCCATTTCCCGCTCTCATCAAAGAAAAAGGCATTGTGGTGGGAATAAAGGTGAGTATGTGTACATGTCTGGCTGGCAGCATACTCCAAACCCCATTTCCAGTGAAAATTGTAGAGGAGGCTGCACTCTCTGCTGCTGAACACTTTTTTTTTCTTTTTTTTTATGTGCTTGGTTTTAAAATCACTAGACGATCTCTGCTCCCATTCTCTGCATTGCTTTTGGGCAACTACCCAGGGGCATATTTGCATTTGATGAAGGAACTTTTCATCCACCGACTCCCATCTACTCACCATTCACTGCAAATAAATATCTCCAAGCAGTAACCTAAATCCAGTCCTTTCCACATCTGACAGAACTCTCAAGCCACTCCCTGAAGCCATTTATACACTGCCCTTCCTCTGTCCCTTTCCTCCAACATTTCCCTCCTCTGCATGCTCAGCCTGATTGGCCCCATACTTCACTCACAGTCAGTCTGCAAAGATAGTCTAGGCATGAATAAGAAGATAAGAAAGAGACTGATCTCCACCTCTTTGTAACCTTTCCTGTTTTCCTGGTCTCCACAGCTGGATAAAGGCACAGCACCCCTAGCAGGAACAAATGGAGAAACCACCATCCAAGGTAAGGAGAGATCTCAAAAGCTATGACTGGTGCAGCAAAAGGCATGCACTCACCTGAGTCGCAGCCTTGGCTGGTGTCATGGTACTTTCCAGAGCTATGTCCTGGAGAACTGCTCTCACTGAAGCCCTGTTCTTTCACCTGCAGGGCTGGATGGACTGGCTGAGCGCTGTGCACAGTACAAGAAAGACGGTGCTGACTTTGGCAAGTGGCGTGCAGTGCTGAAGATCACCAGCACAACACCCTCTCAACTTGCCATAGAAGAGAATGCCAACACATTGGCACGCTATGCCAGCATCTGCCAGCAGGTATCTACCCTCCAGCAGCCTTTCCTGAGATGCTGCCTTGTGTGATAACACACTCGGTAACTTGAAAGGCAGATCTCTGTGAGCATTTTGGAAAAATGAGGAAGAAGAGCAGCGCAGCAAGAAGGAATACCACCAAAATCAGCATAGACAACAAGGACCATTTTTCTTCCATACCCCTAAAGATTTCTCTTTTTCTTTTCTTAGCATGGCTTGGTGCCCATTGTGGAACCAGAAATCTTGCCTGATGGAGACCATGATCTCCAGCGCTGCCAGTATGTCACAGAAAAGGTAAGAGATTCCTGCCCCTCTCCCACCTTTCACAAGTCAGTAGCTAATCTTATGCAGAGTTTGCGCTCACAGATGTCTGAGAGTTTTGATCAAAAAGGTACTTCATAACCACATCACAAAAATGAGCTCACAGTCAAATAATGAGTTAATAGCAAATGCAAGAGTAGAATCCATGCTTTTGGGTTTCTGCTTAAACTGCCAGTATAAGCATTCTTGATCTCCAAAGATGGATTTGGAACAAAACCACCTCTTTCACTACCTCAGATTACAGGGACAAATCCAGTAAATAGGAGGTGTGGTTTCCTCAAAAGCAGTGGTGTCTCCAGGGCTGCAACACCTTTGATAAATTTCACGAGGCAGCAAAATTCAATTTAATCTTCTCACACTGCCAAGGATTAAGCTGTCTTTCCACAGCAGGTTGAGGGGAATTTTTGAACAGAGGTCTGTATTCAGTTCTCCTGTTTTCAGGTTCTGGCTGCTGTCTACAAGGCCTTGAATGATCATCATGTGTACCTGGAAGGGACACTGCTGAAACCCAGCATGGTGACGGCTGGGGGAAAAAAAAAGAAGTCCCCCCCTCAGGATGTGGCTGTGGCAACTGTCAATCCTCTTCTCCGCACCGTTCCTGCTGCCGTTCCTGGTGATTCCTGATTCATTCCTATGTATCCATTCACACTGTCTCTCTTGCTGGCCTCACTCCACCATCTGACATGCTCACTCCTCTGGCTTTTAATTAAAAGTGAGAGACTGCAGTGACTGGAGCACTCTGTTTCTAAGCCTTGAAACCTCTTTCTTGCAGGAATCTGCTTTCTGTCTGGAGGTCAGAGTGAAGAGGAGGCTTCTGTCAACCTGAACGCCATGAATCAGTCCCCTCTGTCTAAGCCTTGGAAACTGACCTTCTCATACGGGAGAGCCCTGCAAGCCTCTGCCCTGGCAGCATGGGTGGGCAAAAACGAGAACAAGAAGGCTGCACAGGAGGCCTTCTGCAAGCGGGCACAGGTATGAGGCTTCCCCCTGTGCAGAGAGGAGGGGCTCACCAGGAAGGGAGACACCTTCCTAAGGCTCCTCTTGTTCCTGCCCCTCTTGGTGCTCCCTGTGTCACAGAGGATGTCACTCTGTGATTTCTGCTTTGCATGGTTACTCCTGCTGTCTTTCTACAACTTTCTTACACCAAGCTAACTGGTTTCCCCTCCTTTTTGTTTCTCTTTCAGATTAACAGTTTGGCTTGCCGGGGACAGTATGTCACATCTGGGAAGACTGACACAGCTGCCTCGCAGTCACTTTTCACTGCCAGCTACACCTACTGAAAATGCCGGAACCTTCCTTCATCCTGACCCTCTTCACAAGGTGGAAGATGTTCAGAAATGAATATAAAAACAAGAAATCTAATTTCCCTTACCCTCATCAAAACTGGAGATACAGTGAATTAGCTTCCTCTCTACCCTTCACTCCCACAATTTACTGCGGGGATATTCTTGTTTCATCTGCACATTCCAAGGGGGATTCTTTCCACACAACAGCAACTACCAGTGAATCATGAACCTTCCCTCCCTTTAATTTAAGCTTAGTCCTTAAAATAGTAGACAGATTAAGTAGTAGACAGATTAAGTAGTTCCCTAGTAATTAAAATACACACCTTTGCCCATTACCACATTTTGCAGCCAAAATCCTGAATTGCAAAACCAAAGTCTTCAATCATAGGAATAAAACAGTAACTGAAAACTAATCTCTCACAATTTTTTAATCTGTATAAACTTGCATTCTTGCTCACACATCTGTAGTTTTTAGTAGCCTATTAAGTCACAAAGCATTGCTGCTGGTGAGCTTGGGAAACCCTGAGATGATCAAAGAGCAATAATCCACTAGTGATACAGCTGGAGAGGTTGATTCTGCTGACTGGAGTCTCACAGACACCAAGAAAACTTGAGAGATGTCTATGCAAAGCAGTGCATGGGACTCAGGCCATAGATAAATAACACTACCTTCAGAAGCTTCTCAAGACTCTGGAGAATCAGAATGGTTTGGGTTGGAAGGGACATTAAAGCTCATCCAGTCCAACCCCCCTGCCATGGGCAGGGACACCTCCCACCAGACCAGGTTGCCCAAAGCCCCGTCCAACCTGGCCTTGAACACTTCCAGGGAGGGGGCATCCACAACTTCCCTGGGCAACCTGTGCCAGTGTCTCACCAGCCTCACAGTAAAGAATTTCTTCCTAATATCTAGTCTAAATCTACACTCTTCCAGTTTAAAACCATTACCCCTTGTTCTATCGCTACCTGCCCCAGTAAAAAGTCTCTCCCCATGAGGGACTTCAGCGTGAGATTGCTAAACATTGAGTTAGGGTTGCACAGTTTGAGTTAGTGCTGTGCAAAGACTGTTCTTCCAAAGCGCCTTTATGGTGGCATTTTCCACAATTACCACACAACATGCAGGGAGGCATCATGGCCCACAGTTTGACCTTTAGCATGTTGCTATGTACCTGTTAGAGATGTAAGTTTTGTTAGCTAAAGCCCAATTGGGCAGATGTTACAGAAAAAAAAAAGGCAGAAATGGCAGAAATAGCAGATCCTAGGTTATACAGCAACATTCGCCTGGCAACATGTTTCACCAATCAACTAGCAACACCTTGGAGCAGCCCACCAACCAGCAAAGATCATGCAACCCAGGCCTTCTGCCTTCAGGGCTACCTGACACCAAGCCTGCATGGCAGGAGCCACCTGGCTCTGCAGGCTGCTCCTCCCTGCGACAGGCACCCATGATTCCTGCAGCAAAGAGAGGGAAAATAGGGAAAATCACTGCTCTGTAACCTCCTCGTGTTCTTCACAGTAGTAACCACTCTTTCACGCAGATCCAATTATTGCATATTTAATACACGCATTTAGCCTGTCTTGACCTCAACCATGAATGAAGAGCAAATGACTTGCCAAAAAGCACGCCAGAGGCCAATACCAGAACCAGGAACATTATTTCTTTTTCTGGTTCGGCTGTGGTCCTGTAGGTCTCCATGCACCCGAGTTCAGATAAGCCTCTGCTCCTGATGAGAAGCATCCTGCTGATCTATTGACCTATGTAGATCACTTTTCTTTGAGAGTGGAATAAAACGTTCCTCCAAACCAGCAAAAGAAACCCTCTCACACTTTATAAAACTAAAGCTGTAGCTTTGCTGAATGACTCCTGCTCCTTTGCAGGGCATCTGTCACACACTGTGCCTGATGCCGCTGGCGGCTGTACCGAGGTTCCTTGTGTTTGACAGTGGCGTTTGTGACCAGAGCAAGTAAAGATCTGCTGAACGTACTGTGGCGAATCAGAGCAAGGCTGTGTACAGAAGGGGTGTTATTTCTCGCTTTTAAAAATGAACATCCTTTTAAACAATAGGAAAAGCGATATTCTCATATAATTGTGTGCCCAGATCAGTAATGTGGCCTACAGAGCAACTCTCTGCGGAGAGGGTCTGGCTGACAGCAACCGCCACACCCCAGAAATGGGATGAAAACCACCAGAGACCGCTGCCGAGAGCCTTTGACGGGCAAAAAGACGCAGCGCTCGCTACAGTCGCACCGGGTGTCGACAGATGTCCCCACCTTCTGCTGTTTTAGCCCCATACGCTGCGCTGCCAAACCTCCTTCTCATTGCCTCCGCCCTCCCCGCCCAGCGGGGTGCCTGGCGCCCATTCTCCCTCACCCTGGGCTGAGGAGAAGTGGGTGGTGGGAAAGGGCGGTTCGAGCGCGACCGTTAAAGGCTCAGAGCGCAGCAGGACTACAGTTCCCGTGAGGTAGTGCAGGGTGTGGTGGAAATACGTCACTCTACCGCCGGGAAAAGGCTTGGTGTCCTCTGACCATGGCGGTGGTGGTA